CGTCCGTGACAAACCGGTTGAACTAGACGAAGAGGGAGATTGTAATTGTGAAACAGGACGTGCTATAGATACATTCTTTTCCGTATTATTATTACGAACACGATTCGGAATGCCCGAATTTATATTTGAAATTTTAGGAGTGGCAATATTCGAGCCAGCTTTATTTAATGAACGTACACCAGAGGTTGAGGCATTAGTAGTAAATGATTCAGCAGAACTATTGCTTATTCGACTTATAGATCTTGGACGAGTACCACCACCTGTTATAGCCTGTGACATAGGACTATATATGCGGACCCCACGAGTCGGAGAGGCAATCCGTGAAGGAGATACGGCATCCACTGACGAAGTAGTGCTCTCTTCAGTGGAACTATTACTGACAACACTCAATGATCTTTGTCTCCCTGGGGATGGAATTGATGTATGAGAATCAACCCTAGTAGGAAGAACCATCCTTGAAGGAGATGTAGTATGAGAACCTGCTCGACTGGGAGCACGAAGTCCTGAAGTATTTGACGGTCTCCGTATTCCAGAAGTTCCAGATTTTGCACTTCCTGCTGAACGAACCGAAGTATATGAACCATTTGACATTGTCTCATATTCATCTGGATCAGCAACAGATGAAGCTCTAGATGAGGTAGGTGAAAGAGGAGACGGACCAAAATGTGGACTGAAAGCAGTTTTTGGTAGTCCGGTCGGAATTCCGGATTTTCCACCTGAAAGTGTTGGGTACGGTGAAGGCACCGGAGATGGTGATACAGGTTTCAAAATTGGAGTAATCTGTGTGTCTAATGACATGTCAATTTGATCTTCTTCGTCGTCATTTTTTAACTCCATCTAAACCATTCGTCAAAAAAGAAATTTTATATATTTATTACTATTATTATTACTAATATATATATATATCTATATACATCTATAAATCTTACATCAAATCCGCCAGGATTAAAAATATCATCCGCTTCCTGACCATCAATTTCGAGAGGTGTATCACTTAAATTCTCGTCTTC